ATTTATATCGATGTTTTTGATTTTTTACATCGATTTTTTTAGTTTCATGATGGTTTGATGGAATTATACGCATCATTGAACGCGTAGTAATTACTAATTATTCAATAATAACTATTATTTAATGAAGAAAACTTTTTAAATCTAACCCTATTCGTCATGTTATTTCGGGTAAAAACACTAATCGAATGACAGACAGACAGACATGCAGTCAATACAAGGTAAAACTAAAGGTGGTAACAATAGAGACGTAAAAACATATCTGCATAAAACCTCTAGCTAGACACAGTTCGAAAATTAAAAAATAATCAAAATATCGATAACACTCAATAATTCATATTACAAGTACATCACTAAAGCGTGCTCCCGGCAGCGGAAAACGTGTGATCGGTCGACACGAGGCGGCCGGCGCTCACTGTTCACTGACGATGTAAAGCTAGGTGCACACCACGGAATATTCTACATAAATCATAAACTTTGAGAAATAAAAATTATTTTGTGTACTCATTCAACATTTTGCCGCCAAAATACATTTATGTTATGTTTTTCAAAGCTCTAATCTTGTTATTAGAACGCTATTTTTTACATGAAGAAAAATAATTCATAGAAATATTATCATTTTAGACAAATAGAAGCTGTACAAAATTGTTTCTTAAATATACAAATTTAATAAACCGTAGTATTATAATAATATTAAGATTTAATTACGTATTTTTTCTGTCACTAGATGAAATCGCTTATGACACTAGATGTAAAATTCCTAAAATTTTGATTTTTAGGGTTCCGTACCTCATAGGCAAAAACGGATCACTTTGTTGTCCGTCCGTCTGTCAAGACCCTTTTTCTCAAAAACGTGTGAAGGTATCAAGCTGGAATTTATTTTTCTTTTTTTCAATTTTTAGATTTCATGTTGTGTCTGTACTTTGTGTGCTCTTACCCTTATAGATAGGGTTGACTAAAAATCGATAAAGTCCTGTCAATCTATACCATGGTGACCTGTTTTTGTCGATATCTACGTATATAATCTATAACCATCACTAACTGTTAAGTCTAATGTGGGTAAAGTCAAAAAGGAGAGATAAATAGACAAAAAAATGTACCATTGTAGAGATTGAAAGTAAGTAAATCAAACTTATTAGAAAAAAGAAAACATTGCAGAAAAATATTTGTAGTCGATTTTTGATTTCAGCCGTTCTTAAATAGCGAAATAAACATCCAAATTTTTATTTTTATAACATTAGTATAGTATATATCTTGGCGGCTTGAAACATCGCGGTATTGCGGGGCGTGGGCACTGCGCAGTGCGTAAATATTTGAGTAGCCAATTTTATATATGTACAATCACTGTACAAAACGGTTAAACTGTAGCAAAAGCCGGCCGGATATACCCGGCGGTTCAATTGGCCCTTTTCGCGACATCCGGACCCAGCCGGGTGCGGCCGGGCGTGTTGCTGTCAGTACAAAGGAAACTGGAACCCGTACTCTCCCTCCCTTCCCTCGCGTCCATGGATCAAAGCGAAATGTTACGTATTTTATAGTATTTTGTATATTTCTATTTTGTCATTTTTTAGAAGAGGATTTTAAAAATCGAAATCCAACTAACATCTGTTTTAATTGTGAAGTTTTTATTTTCATTTTTACATTATGGGAAGGATTTTTTCCCAAGAAATGTTTACGGTCAAAGATATGCCACATGCCATTGGCCACATTCGCTAGTAGACACTAACATTCGCTTTTCATATCTTACAAATCTTATAAAATGCATAAGATTGGATGCATGGATATTTGTTAGAAGGTATCTCCAGAACGGCTCATCTCAATGGAATCTGACATAGATGTAGAACATAGTCTGGAAGAACACATAGGCTACTCACTAAGTTTTTTTAATACCACGCGGACGGAGTCACGGGCAAAAGCTAGTTTAGTGTCATCAGTGATGTGCCAAAAATAGTGACATTAATGACACAGGTGTCATTGGTTCGCCATTCCTGGTTTATAAAATCAATACACGCATAATACTTGTACCAGGATTCCATAACTTATACGGAGCTTAGCGTCAGTAGCCGAATCGCATTGGGCAGGTGATAGCGTTACCTGTTGCCGAGTTATCGTAGATCGTTGCCGGCAGAATTTACGACCGATTGCGTCACCAATGTCGTGCCAAACATGCTTAATGTTTCACACGTGGGCAAATAAAACTGTGCATACGATAGTGTAGTACAATAGCAGTAGAACACTGGTCATAGTTAGCTTTTAACTTAAAAATTAAGTCCACTAACCATCTCTAAGTAATTAATTTAATTAATGTCAAAAAATAGGAAGAAAATAAAGGTTCTTTCCTTCTCAATTCTAGATTAGCAGAAACACAAATAGAATAGTAATAAAATATAGTTATTTTATGTATTTTTACTACAGTTTCAGATCATTGAAACATTATATTTACTTATTTGATTTAGAAAATTATTTGTAAGAATATTATAAAAATGAACGAAGTGTAAAAAACTATATTCTGGTATGGTTTCGATACACTAACATATAAAAAGTACTCGCGAATTCAAGACCTTACTTAAAACGAAAAAAAAAACTCGAAACTTTGCCAAATTCAAGTTGGCATTTGCCAGCCCTAGTGTTGCGGCTGTCGCGGTCACGGCCGTGTAATCGCCGAGGCCATTAGACAGCCGTCCCGTTGCGCCCGCCCCGGACCTCCCCAGGACGCCCCTGGACGCCCCGAGACGTTGTGGGACGCCCCCTGGACTCCGGGATGCTGCCGGCCCGACCGCATGTCCGCTCTCTCCAGGATAACCATCTGTGTTGATACTGCTATTTCGTCGTGTTCGCACAGATCTGTATTTTATGTTGCTTTTGCGTTTCTTTTTTATGTTAATAATAATTTTACAGTCTTTTCAAAGGAACATGATTCCAAAAAATCTTTAAATAATAACCACATTTTACCGTTTCTCGAAAATCGAACCTTTGAACTAAAAATTTAACCAATAAGCCATCTGGTTATATATGCCATATGTTGGATCGATTGCTTAATTCCAGTTGCATTGTATTCCAATTTAATCTACGTTTGATTTTACGCCATACTTATAAGTTCGTTTTAGTCGTAATGCTAAGTACCGTAGAGTGACATCTATCGTCGAAAGTTGATAAATCATTGTAATCTTGAAACTGCCAGTTGGCAACCCTAGTTGTTAAGGCGACAGACGACGTAATTACTTTGTCCCGGAGTCGGAGTCGCGGGTAATTAGGGTCGCAGGGACTCGCGCCGGGACTCGCGTCGGCTAATTGCTGTCCGCGACCGAATTTATGAGTCTAATTACGGGATCCGAAGGCACGGGCCGTGCAAGGAACGTTATAATCTGTTGGAGATTGAATAGTTTTATACAAGATGTCCGTGTTGACAATTCTAATGAAATTAATTTACCTACTGTGATATTGGTATAGCTTTAGCGTAATTTTGCTAATAATTAACATTTTCTATTGAATTGTTAGATTTGTTTTGTAATAATATGATTTTTGAATATACTTGAAGCATAAATGCTTGATGATGTGAACATCCTTAACTCAGATTCCGGATATTTATCCAAATTGTATAGATTTAAACTACATATTTATATCTAGATGTGTATTTGTAAAATTTTCTACACATTTTAGAACATAGAACCATAAAAATATATGTTAATTTATTAATCTTGGTGATGATGTCATGATTAAGCGCTAGTTTCTTCATTAAAAATGAAAAACAATTTTCTAGTCACATTCGAAAAGTATTAGGTGAATAGTTAACAGCTTTTAATTCTACAATTTTTATGCTCAGATCAATTTTTGCAACTGCACCATCTATCGGCGGATAGCACTAACAGTAAAAACAAACTAAAATCAGTCATCGATAACAGATGGCAGCACTTCCTGTTAGTAAGACATTGTAAATGGAGAAGCTAATTTGTATTTCTCATTGTTTCAGAATGCGCCAAGTCAAGAACCTGTTTATAGAAAAGTTGCAATAGTAGAAAATTTCTTCGATATCATTTATACGGTGCATGTTGAGTTAGAAGGCAGGCCAGGGAAACATGCGGGGCAAAAAAGAACTTACAGAACGGTGAGTTGAGTTATTTCATATTACGCCATCTAGTTAGGAAATCGAACAACATTTTCCAACAAGTTGGTCCCGAAACAAATTCCATAGTTACGAGCTGATTTCACAGATGGCGCTGCCTTGTAATATGTTTTGAACTTTCCACATCATTTTTAAAAGCATTATTTTCTTAATTGTGATGTTTACTTAAAATTTAATCATTTATTTATATATTACGATACTCTTGTCCAATTTTCCGGGATTACAGCTTTATAAGAGTTTGTGACATGGTTTAGTGTGTGCAAATGAATAAGAGATTTTTTTCCTTTTTTCCCTCTGATAGGAGATCTTTTCTTTCACAGATTACGGAGACATATGCGTTTCTTCCTCGTGAAGCCGTGACCAGGTTTCTAACAGGATGCGCGGAGTGCGCGCGACGCCCGCGCAGCGCCTCCCCACCTCCGCTGCCTACACCTTCCCCGTCCCCAACCAGACATCCCCCCTACCTACCATTCCTCCCTCACTGCGCAGCTGATTATACCAGGAATTGGGAATCAGAGATTGATGCAGCCCATTCCAACTATCCTTACGAACCGAAGTTCGATTACACAGAACTACAACCTCTGAAGAAAGTCGAAAGTCCTAAACCAACTGACACGGAAGATGAACCGACTTATATTGAACTTACCTCCAAAAAAGTGAACGGCTTCGATTCAACTCCCATAATAAATAGAAGTTCGTCTGTTGAACCAGCGTTTAGAGAAGAACAGCCTGTGCGTACCGACCCTGAGATAGATAAAGACGAAAATAGTTTAATTGACGTTGAAGACGTAAAAGTCGATGACAGTCCACCGCCAGTAGTGCTGGAAGAGAAGCAAGAAGTAGAAGAAGAGAAAGTAAACGAAGAAAGTGATAAAGAAAGTACCAGGGCGACAGAAAACATAGAAGTTACGGAACCGAAAGTCGAAGTTAAAAAGGAGAAGAAGTATAATCCGCTGGATGTCGCTAATTTGACTTCGAAAGATCCTCCAAAGTCGCGGTCGCCGCCTCGTAAGAAGTTATTACCAACAAGTATAGATTGTTCTAACTCCTTTGGAAGATATCCTCGACCGTGGCGTCCTGACGGCGGTTTGTACTACGCTGGAGAAGACGTCGACTACAGCGTCCCTATAACAACAGCTTATCTTAAACATATGCGGAGTATGGCGTATCAAGACAGCTTGGATGGGGAGTCTAAGGTAAGTTTCTAGTAATTTAAGTCAATAATCATGATTTTATGTAGTTACTAGCGGACCCGACAGACGTTGGCTGACTATTTGACACTGCGATGGTAGCGCCGTCTGTCGGATCCAATGTAAAACATTCCAAAATCAACAACTACTAATTAATTAAAAATTAATTAAAATAACATTGTCCAACGGACAAAATTGTGAATCTAAACCATTCCCAGATCCCCTTGAACACACACAAAAAATTTCATCAAAATTGGTCCAGTCGTTTGAGAGAAGTTCAGTGACATACACACTCACAGAAGAATTATATATATAAAGATATGTATATTACATATCTTTAGATGCGTTAGAGAAGAGCAATACTTCACCGTACATCAGAACAAGGTGCAAAATTGACTAAAATAACTTTTTAACTTTGGAAAAATTCCAGTTATTAGTGGAAAAGAGAGCTATGGAACTATTCATTTAGCATTTTCAATAGTATTAACCTAAGCAAACACTAAAAATATACTGCAATATGTACTTTTAAAATGCTTTGCCTTGTATTTCATATTGAAATTTTCGTATAAAATTCGCCAGGATATTTTGTGTTGGAGAGCGGCGTGAGGTAACCGCTAACCCTCTGAGCTCAAACTTATACCAAAACCTTCACAAAGCGCCTCTTGCGGTCCACATTTATGATTCTACAAAATTTCGCTTTTGATTAGCAATTTGAACCTTTGCAAAGTATGTGAATATGAAAAATTGTGGTATGAAGCTTTGATATAGTATTTTAGACATTAAAGTGATTGTTAAGGTGGGTTTTCACTAGCAACACATGTGAGGAAACATGATATCATGACTATTTGAAAAAAAACAGATAAAAAACATGGCTTGTACATAAACTCGCGGGATTAGTAATGGACTGTTAAATCTTACTAATATTATAAATGCGAATGTTTAGATGGATGTTTGTTAGAAGGTATCTCCAGTACGGCTTCATGAATCACACTAAAATTTGGCATAGATGTAGAACATAGTCTGGATGAACATAGGCTACTAATTAAGTTTATCGTAATTCCTCGCGGACGAAGTCGCGGGTAGAAGTTAGTTACATATGTATTGTTAGGAAGAAAATACTGGCACAACACTAGCCTTACTAAAATGTCGACGTTTATGTCCCCTCACTAATCATTCTGACACTTGACTTGGTAATGAAAGCACGTCATTCGCGTCAAAGGATTCAAATTAATAATTTCTAAAAGTATGTACAAGACGAAGTAGATAAGAAAACACAGTGTTTAGTGCGGAGTGAATGTTTGTAGGTTTTACGAGCAATTGGCCGCTATAGCTGTAACGGCTCGCTGTTCGAATGCCGAATGATGTTTGCAGGATCTTGAGGATTGAAGTGTTTTATTATTAGCTGATAGAATCTTTTAACCAAGTTAGAATATATTGGTTGAATTTCAAGTATTGGTATTTTAAGAGTGTGATAAAATTAACTAAGGAGATAGTAAAAAGTAAATTTTAATTAGGTCGAAACTTCTAGGAACTATATTTTGATAACAGTTTGATTCTACCACCGAAGCACTTGATTTGACGACACCTGTAATCAGTTTTTTTTATCGTAATGAGTGAAAAGGATAGTTATATGTTTTTATACATGTATTTCGACATTGGAAACTCACAGATATCAAGACAATGCAATAAAATGTCAAATTATTCACCCAAAGAAACGGGTGCTGACACTGATCGTGGTATTAGGAGCGCAGGATTTATAAGAGATATCACCTGACATGTAACCTCGTAATGGCCGCGATTGATTCAGACGAATGTCCGACTCCAAAGGACCAGAATGTTACGCCATAATCGGGCGCCGCATCTTTTCTAACTCATTTTTCTCGCTCGGGGCGATGTGGGTGTTGGGGTGTTGGGGTGGTAAGAGGGTACGAGGTTTCATCAGCCTCGGGGGGCGTCACGGCATTAGACAAGACACAAAAACGATGCCCGACAGAGAAGTGGGCAAGTACATTTTCTGATGACGGTGTTTTTTGGACGACGTATGCGAGGTTTTCTTGTCTCAAAGATATACTTTCGCATTACTTTTTTTGTCGTTTTCGTGTGCTAATGTCTTTTGTCTCTTAATACTGACTTTAACCCGCGACTCTGTCCGCGCGGGATAAAAAAAAAACTTAATAAATAGCCTATGTGTTCTTCCAGACTATGTTTTACATTTGTGTTAAATTTCATCAAGATCCGTTTAGCAGTTCTGGTGATACATTCAAACATCCATCCATCTAAACATTCGCATTTATAATATTAGTAAGATGTTAAATAGATAGACCAAAGTCTTTTATTAATTTAATTTTTATTGAAACATTTATCTAATATGTTCTAAATTGAAAATCCATTTTTAAATTGTTTTCTTTTCTATTTGGAATTAAAATTAAAATATTATTCAGAATAATTATTAATATTATTAATTTAAAAATTATTATAAGATATTATTTTATTGTTATTTATTTATTTTTTACACATTATTCGCGACTTTATTACACATTTAATTATTTTGAAAGTAAATAAAAGTTTAAGCATTGAATAGAGCTAAGTTATATAAGTTATTTCGTCACAAAATTTCAGTTGCTACGTTCTCAACATCGTGTGTACCGAAGGGTCAGTTGTAGACCGTCCGTAAGAGGGTAGCGTCCCTGCGACCCCCGAAACCGACCCCCTGTGCCGCGACTTGTAAGATTGATTGGGGCTCCTTCAGTCCATTTCCACCCCTTGTGGGATTCGACCCTCTCACCCCCCCTTTTTTTCTCGGATACTAAAGACACGGATATAGTTAAACTGGATAAGTCATTCTAGGCTCTTTGTTCATTCGAGTTTTATCTAGAAGATTCTATAAACGAAATAATTTGTTATTATACCCAAATATATGCCGTTTTATATGTAACATACAAGCTTTTGCCCGCGACTTCGTCCGTGCGAAATTAAAAACAATTATAGTATTATTGTCTTAATTACTTAAAGACAAAGTAACGTTAAAATTTAAAAAAAAAATTAGAATCGCTGTAGTATTTTTTGAGTTTATTTGTTACAAGCAAACAAAAATATGAATCTTTAAAATATTTTTTAATATGTTACATCTAGATATTACTAGAGCTGTTACAACCCCCTTTTTTCTCATACAGGGGCTGTTAATAACAATAGGCTATTTTATTCGTAGTTGCGGCGTGTGGCCGACTCTATGTTGCAGATTACAAGTTTTGTTTTGATAAGAAATGTCTACGAATATCTGGTAATATAGAGCGTACAGTAGAGTCTCGGTGGCTCAGGGGTTTAAGTACTTGACTTGTAATCTGCAGGTCCTGGATTCGAATCCCGACATGTACCAATGTGTTTTTTCGATTTTTGATTTTCCGACGTTCTTACGTGATGCAACCTGCACATATCAGAGAAGAAATTTAAAGATATGTGTGAAGTCAACCCGCACTTGGCCAGCGTGGTTGACTATGGCCTAATCACCCTTAACTTAGGGTAGGCTCCGAGCCCCTCAGTGGGGACATGCAGTGAGCTGATGATGATCTGGTAATATTATTAAGAAATATGCCCATAATCTAATCTATTTCTATTGTTATTCAGTTACTAAAACTTAATTAGCCTAGCCTATGTGTTCTTCCAGACTATGTTCTATATCTATGCCAAATTTCAACTAGATCCATTCAGACGTTCTGGAGATATCTTCAAACAAATTGGAAGTCTGGAAGACATAGGCTATTATTTATGTTTACTTTCAATTCCTCGCGGACGGAGTTCGGGGCGACAACTAGTTTAGAAATGCCAAAATATTATTGAGAAGTATTTTGTTTACGTTATGTCAGTTTCGTGTGCATCTGTGCGACCTTGAACCATGACATAATTAACTTTCAGTTCCCCTCAACAAATCGATTCACAGTTTTAATAACACGAGGGTTGATTCCAATGGGGATGATTTTAGATGCGTTCGGTTGATATTTTTCTATTCAATTGTTAACTTAATTATTGTTAATTGTAACTTAAGTTATTTTTGGTGAAAGCGTCAATAGCCTATTGGTTAAGGGGATTTCCGATCACGAGGTCGGGAGTTCGAATCCCGCCATTCGACTATTGACGTAAACCATATCCTATCACAAGTCTAGATTAATTGGAGTAAATTTATTATAAAAATTGTGACTTGTCCTTGCTAGGTCTAGGCTAGATCTTTAAGGATTTTATTCGTTTAGTCATTCGGTACGTATTTTTCCTAAGTCAAGTTTTTTTTTAATTTATTTTTTATTGCGATATAAAAAATGTATTGTACGGAACCGATGCTACTTTAGTATATTCTTTTTCTTATTTCGTCGTTGCCTTTTCGCGTCGTTTGGTAGCGCGCCTTTCGAGCGTCGACGAAGAAAAAAAAAGAAAGAAATTTCAAAAATGTTTATCCCTACTGAGCCACGCTGCGTTCTGGAAAAGCACGCGGCGAAAACAACCTCCTTTCCTCCCTAACGCAAGCTGGGTAAAATTATTTTCGGTCGGGTAAATTCTGTTTTTGCGTTGCGTGCAGACACCTCGGGGTTTAGGTACCAGGCGCTAATAAAGGCGTGGAGGTGGGCGGCTACCCCTCGTCTCCTAGTACTCGTTGTGAATTTACTGCGGCGCCCTACTGTCGGCCGCGCTACTAATTCCGTTAAAATTCTCAGCGCGCTATGCTCGCCTGGTAGCGGTGAGCGACACCGGGGTGGCGCTACCCCTTAAGATAAGGGTGTGTTTTGTTAGTTTGGGAGAGCGGATAACATCCGTCGGGGTCGGCGTTTGATTCGGAAACTTTTGTAATTATTTTGAGTTAGTCATGCGTCACTCACAACACTTGCGATCATTTCCAATCCCAAGTAGACGTATCCGTAAAAGATACATAATACAGATTCAGACCAAAACATATTATACCAAAAATTCGTCAATAAACTAAATTAAATAAATCCGCTCCTCTACCTAATGTAACCGCA